GGACAACTCCGAGACATTGCCGAATGTTTACTGTCACACCCCTGAAGAGGTGGTCCAGTTTCGGGAAAGGTCATTTTGCTTCGGTTTGCTGTGGGTAACACCCACCCAGTGTTTAAGGAGCAATGAAGACGGAGGGGTCTTGTCCCCAATTTTAAGAATTCTTACCTCATGAAACACTAGCTTGTCCCATGGCACCAACACTTTTATTGCGTATACATTATGAATATTAAAAATCCATCTTGCGATGTTCGTACACCTAACCTTTTACATTTTGAAGTCTCAGAGGAGTAGGGGAAGAAATACATGTAGAGGGGTCTGCTGTGGTGGAATATCACTTTATGTAAAGACGCGTTACATTTGTTTAACGTTGCGTTTGTTTAATGATGTAAAAGATGTGTGGCTTTGCCTGCCTAAAATACTCGATTGGTCGGCTAAGAAGCTAAATGGCCAATCGCTTGGCAGAGGAGGGATAGGCAGGGCTGGCAGGCAGAGAGAATAAGTAGGAGGAGAAACCTAGGCGGCAGGGGTGGGGGGAAGGGACAAAGGAGAAAAAGAGGGAGATGCCAGGGGCCAGAGGGACAGACAGACAGACAGACAGGCACAGAAAAGGACACACAGAATGAAAGAAAGGTAAAATGTCCCGAGGCAAAATGTAGATGAAGAGAAACAGGTTAGTTTAAGGTATAAGAGTTATCAGGGCAAGCATAAGATGAGGCCGAGCACTCGTAACTACTAAGTCTCCGTGTCATAATTTGGGGGCTGGTGGCCCAAGAAAGGCTGCTACCTTCTACACAGGCGGAACATGGTGTATGGTGCCATTGGTAATACACACTGTTTTCACTGCTCATAAGAAGTCTACGTAGAGCCCTGCCATCCACACAGGTGTTCAGGGGAATGTGTTCACACCTAGACCTGCGTTTCCCGGGGTGTGGCCCCAGGACCTCCAGCAGCCGTATTGGAATTTGTTAGGGATGCAGATCCCGGGCCTCAACCCTAGACCTGTCCTGTCGAATTCGAATTTGTGAGGATGGGGTGGACGGGGCTCTTCGGGTGATTCTGAGCCAGGCTTCTTGGCCTTGTCCAATGAGGAAGAAGCAATGAGAACAGAATTTTTAAAAAAGTCCCTCAGTCACGCTTACATATATCCCCTGCGGTCCTGAAATCTTGATCCAATAAGCAACCTCTAATAGCTCTTTTGTTGTTTCTTACTGTTTATTTTCCTGGCACGTTATGTGTTAAGAACTCTCTTGAGTAAGACAACACCACACCAAGACTACAGTACATTTGCCGTTTGTTGAAAATGACTCCAAAGAGTGTACCTTAACTTACACAATGTAGGTGCTGTCTATAGAGACTCCCTTCAGAAAAAATCCAGTGAGGTGCAGTTACTCTGCTTCCGTGAGTGGTCCGTAGACTCAGAGCCCGTGGGAAGAGTCTGGGTTAGCATTGTTGCAATATTTATCGAATGAAAGCACTTTGCATCCAATGCTTACAGAAACAGAGTCACGTTCATGTTTACACGTGATCAGCGGGGCAGGGAAGGGAAGAGAAATCATGAAAGTGACTTGGCAGGAGAAGTTTGTATCCCCCAGGAGCCCTGTCTAGCAACTCTGTCAGCAATGCTGAAGGAGGAGAACAAATAGATTGAAGGTGGTGAGGGTATCATGAAGCCGGAGTACAAATGCCCACGGGGGAGGTAAATGGCGGTAACCCTCGTTTTTGCAGCATGTTCTGTGTGGTACCTTCTTGCCGGGGCAAAGTGAAAAAACAGCGTATACATGCATCATCTTCCTGCCTCGTCTCTGCTTCCCACCCCTCGTTACTTAATGGATGCCTCCGCCGTCCATTAGGCCAAATAAGCGAAGCCACTGTGTGGCAAGACCTGGGACCCCTCTGCCTGGAAACAGACTCGACATTCAGAGAACATTCCAGCCCTGCTCAGCTCTCCAGCTCACAAGAGGCGGACTTTCCCCTGTGCAGACAAAACTCTCTTTCTGCAGATTGTAGGAGTTAGAAGCAAAGAGCTTGCAGAAACTTACGTCTAAAAATAGGTTAAAGTAGTTTTTGTCCTTTGTGCCTTTCCATTCAAAAGAATACTTTAAGCTTTTCTTATCAATACAGTTATCCACCTGGGGTGGACTGGCCTCCCCGAGCCTTCAGCGCCCCTGGGCCTGTTGCTTCAGAGTCCAGTGAGGAACTTCTTAAAAGCCCCACACAAATGTCCACTTCACGTTCGTGGGCCTCTCCTCGCCGTATGAAACGAGAACCCTGGCCCAGATCCCAGGGGACCCTGCATTAGTATGCCCTCGCCTTCCCTGACTGGAAACCAGAACACCCTGTCTTCTGGGCATGTCCACATCCTGCTGTCTCAGGAAGTAGGCCCTTCAGTCTGGCATGAGAACTCTAGCTTCATCCCTATGGGCACAAAGCCCTCAGCTTGACGTACTCAATAAATATGTTTTTCTCTGGGACATCCTTACACCCACTACCAATAAAAAGAAAGCAAGCCATTGCTGGTCCGTGGGAAGCTGTGGGTGAGAAGACTCCACCTTCAGCTTACGCAGGCTAACTTGCTGACATAGGCTGAGCTAGCTCAAACCCCATAACAGCATGGCCCAGCGTACCAAGGCGGAGGTGCTTCCTGTCCAAAGTGGGTAACTTGGGCATTTTTTCCATTTTTCACAAGACTCTCTGGGTGGGCCAGTATTTCCTGTCGTTTTAACTGCTTCACGTAGGCACACGACAAACACACGCGCTCATCCGTCTCCCTCCCTCTCGGGAGCTTGCCAAGCCCCCACCATGTCCCTTACACCTCCTGTGCATGCCTGTAGCTTACACGCTGTTCACGCCTCCATCGTATCGCAGCTTCCTGGGCTGGTCTCCGAGGTGGACTGCGGGTTTTTGTCCTCTCTCAGTTCTCAGAGTCAGGACAGGGCAGACCGTGTGAGCCTCGAAGGCTGGTATAGATGGACAAGGAGTGCGCTGGTGAAAGTGGCTGGGCATTTGCTGCGCAGTGTCTCGCTGGAGGCCAGGCCTCGTGAAGGTGACGCAAGAAACTTATGCTGGCTGCTAACCAAAGGGGGCTTTTTGTTGTGGAGAGACTGTGGTTGTCTTTAAGATGCTGGCCAGTCAGTCGGTCTTGGTCACTAGAAGGTTTGTGCCTTATAACAAGGAGGAGGGAGGGCCTGGCAATTGCGGTGTCAGCTCAGCGGCCTCTAGGGACCTGAAACAAAATTATGTGGGAGAAATCTTGACCCTGCTGTCAGGAAGAGAAAACCAGGGGCGTGTTTTGGGATGTGACAGGGGGCGAGTGTAGAGCACCCCGTCTGGTTTGCTGCTGATGAAAACCAAACCAAAACCAAGGTCTCTGGCCCTTTTCTCTGGCCCTGCAGATCCTGTGTGAGGATGGGTAGTGAACCCCCACAGCCGCGGCAAACTTGTGCCCCACCGGGACGTTTGAATGCACTTCAGAGACATAAAAATAGACGCGGGGATTGTTGGAAGGGGAAAGGGAACCCTTGGAATGGAAGGGGGCAGCGAGGGTGGTGGATGGATGCGATTAAGACATACTATGCGTATGTCATGATGATGTCTGTTGCTCGCTATTAACACACGCCGATGAAACGGTTTTTAAAAGTGCTTTCAGGAAGGGCCTGCTCGGTGACTTAGATGCCTGAGCTGCACAGCCTTTGTCTCCCCGCCCGCCCCGCTCCGCCCAGCACCTGCCCGTCCTGTGCTGCAGAACCGCCCATGAGGCTTGCTTTGTTTTCCATCCCCATCTCTCCAGACCAGTGTGCCCACGATTCCAGTGACATGCCTCTTAGAAACGTCACCTGGATCTTAACAGTGGTCCTCCTGCTCCAGCCTCCAGGGCGCTGGGGTGACAGGCATGGAGCCACCACACACAGCTCCCTAATGACTGATCTGGTTCAGATTGGTGCAATAGCATCTCAGGATCCTTACCATGTCACCAAACATCTCTTCCTACTTTCCTGAAGTGCCTCTGAAGCCGTGTCACTCGCCTGCTGGAGAGCCAAGCCCCCCTCCTCCTCATCACCCCCATTCTGTGTGGCCACCCTGCCTTTTCCAAACTTCAGTTCTGCCCTGGGTTTTGCCTGCTCTGCCTTGGCCCCCTTGCTGGGCCCCTGAGTCTGCTTTCAGCCAGGCTGCCTGCTGGGTGCCCCAGGCCTGCAGGGTGGTCCCCTGGCTTCCCCTGGCTTCCCCTCCGGCTCCCCAGCACCCACTTTGTAGGGTTCTGTGATGATCACAAGAAGAAAGACAGAAAGCCCTCAGATGAGCTCCAGAGTGCTGCTAGTGACTGTCAGTATTATAAGGCCTTTCAAGCCCACATTTTTAAGCAAAACCTTCTCTATTTCCGTTTTAGATTTAGTTTCCTTAACCTTTTATAATTATCTGAATGGCATGTAGCAGAAAATATCCTGCCTTAGCGTAGTATTTGAGTTTATTTTGGACTCTACTGGACATCACTAATCAAACACATTAAATTTCATTTGTCACTGTATATGCTCTGAACTATTTTCTATAGTGCCTGGAGCACAGGGGGAACTTAGTAAGTACCAGCTAAATTGAGATAATGCCTTCGCTATCTTCAAACCATGTCCCACTGGGCCGGATGGATAGCTCCATGGTTGGAAGCGCAGGATGATTACGTAGAGGACCTACCAGTTCGTGGCACCCAGGTCGGATGGCCAGCTCCAAGGGATCTGACGCCCTCTTCTGGCCCCTGAGGACACTGCATTCTAGTGCATATACCCACACATGGGCACACAGACATGCTCACTGACAAATAGTAAAAGCACATCTCTAAAATTGTGTTTCCTGAGCAGAGGAAAACCTGTAACACATAAATAGGATGCACTGAAGAGCTTGGCCATACGGGTGATTCCGGGGAAGGGCAGGGGGTGGGGGTGGCTCACTGTTGCCGGGGTCCTGACGTGCATGCTGCAGTAATGCTCTTCCCGCTGTGTTTCCTGCGGCAGGTCTGCGTGGTGGCCTACCTTGGACTGTTCATGCTCTGCGTCTCCTACCAGGTTGACGAGAGGACGTGTGTCCAGTTTTCTATGAAGGTAAGCTGTTTGTCTGTTTTCAGGATCATTACATAGGAACAAATGTGAGCACAAGGAAAAATGCCTTCCAAGGGCTACACGTCTGAGGGTCTAGAAACTTCCCTTTCAGGTAGTCCAAAGTGTTTTAGGAGGATATCGGTCCAGACACAGCGGTAATGCTAGTGCTTTTAATTAATTTCCACAGGTTAGGTTGTTCCCAGAGCACAAGAAGCTAGACTTTTAATGTCCCCCAAAGGAGTATTGAACGGCCACCAGTTGGAGGAAAACACTTGGCCAAGGAAAGGTGTCTCTCTGAGTGCCCACTTCCCTGTCTTGTGATCACTTGGCGTATTTCAACAATAAAGCAGTCTGGGTGTATTTCCCCTTGTAGGCGGGAGCACCGAGACAGAAAGGGAACATTGGTGAATCCAGTGGGCCCTGCCAGCAGTCCCCGGGAAATGGCTAGGCTGTGCATGGCTCGGCAGTTGAATGTCTCTCTTTACCGCGAACTTCTGTCTGTTGTGGACGGTGCGTTTGGCGGCAGCCCGTTTAAGTGCACAGTGCCTCCCTGCACAAATATAGTCTCCAGATTAGACTTGACACTTAAAGAGATGTAAAGACTTCCCTCAGAGGCGAGGAGCATAAAGCAAAGTGAGCAGTCTGGCTGGTGGCTTTCCCTCAGTGCCACAGCCAATGATGGAGAATATTCCCTGTGTTTCTCTCGTCCATCTGGTAGTCGACCTTTCTTCCAGGCATGTTCTTTGCTACAATCAGGAAATATGAAGCCCGAGAGTAAGTCAACAACATCGTTTAAAAACCACAATGATAAAAAAAATCATAGGATGTGTTTATAATGCGGAGCGGTAGCTCGGTGGGTGCAGTGCTTGCCTAGTGTGGACCAAGCTGTAGATTTGACAACCAGTCCCAAGTAAGCGGAGCACAATGTCACCTGACTCCCCTCTCATCAAGTAGAAACAGGGATCAGAAGTTCAAAAGTTCAAGGCCAGCCTCTGCCTTATACTGAGTTGGAGACCAGCTAAGCTACTTAGAATCCTGTCTCAAGAATGGGGAAGAGGAGGAGGAGGAGGAGGAGGAGGAGGAGGGAGGGGGAGGGGGAAATGCCATGCTGAAAATGGCAGTAATAAAACAATGTGCATACAATTTGAAGGACAGTTGGGAGCCACCCTGTGGGTGCTGGGAACCAAACCTGGGTCCTCGATAAGAATATCAAGTGTTCTTCGCCACCTCTCCAGTCCTGAAATTGACTTGTTTTGATACGATGGGTTTTTTGGGGGGGTTGATTGTTTTTTAGAAGAAGGCTAGAGACAGGAGACACAGTTCAGGCTCTTTTTTGGTTGTTGTTGTTGTTTTCTTCAGTTGAGGTTGACCAAATAACAAGGCATGGTGATGAGAAGAGGGAAGGAAAAAGAAACCCAAAAACCTAGGAAGAAATAGCCTGCTCAGTCTCAGGAGATTCATCCAGCAGGCAGAAGCATTCTGACGTGGATTTTATCCAGTCGAGGAAGCACCGACTTCCTCTCTCCCTTCTGGATCCCCCCCCACACACACCAGGCATCTGTACCTCAAGAGAAGGGAGGGGTGGGGGAAGAGAAGAAAGAATAACAGTGGCTGCCAGCATCAGGTAGACTGCAGACCCCCACTGGGAAGACCTCATTAGCTCTGTCCTTCCCTCAGCATGACAGACACAAGGACAGGAGGTCCTTCCTCCTCCCCTGAAGCGACCTTCAGCCAGGCTGCTGCCAGCAGCCTGATGTAGATGGAGGCGTCCTGCCTGGTCCCACAGCCGTTTTGCTCCAAAAACCATACAAAGACTTATATTAATTTATATACTGTTTGGCCAATGGCTTAGGCTTCTTACTGACTACTTCTCTCTTAATTATTGACCCATAGCTATTAATCTATGTATTTGCACGTGGTCTTGGCTTACTGGAGATTGCCTGGACCTGTCACTCCTTTGGCGGCTACATGGCATGTCTCTTTGCGGCCTCTCTGCCTCTCTCCCCAGAATTCTCCTCGTCTCCTAGCCCCGCCTACCTTCCTTTCTCTACTGGCCAATCAGTGTTTTATTCATCAACCAATAAGAGAAACATATTTACAGAAGGATGTCCCCCATCAGTCTAAGATGCTCTCTGTGTCATCTTCAGTCCCAAACAGCCCCATCCAGGCCCAACAGGGCACAGCTGGCGTCCCCGTGCTTCCCAAGGCCTCTTGGGGACATGAACTGCACCTTCAGGAGGGATTTCTCACTGCACCTTAGCCCTCAAGCCCTGGACAGAGCTTTTTGGTTTATTTTCTCTCATTGGGCACCTAGAAAGACAGGCCAGGCCAGGCCACCATGCTGTGGCAATGGAGTCTTCTTGTACAAACACACACTCACCCATATACACATCCACGCACACACACAAACTCACACACACAAACGTACACATTCATACACATCTGTACACACAAACATATACTCTTACACACTCATACACACAAATACACACACTCACACTAACACACAAGCACACCACACCCACACAAAACACACTCCAACACACACACACTCTCTCCTCCCTCCCTCTCTCTCCTTCCCTCCCTCTCTCCCTCCCTCCCCCTCCCTCCCTCCCTCTCTCTCCTTCCCTCTCTCTCCTTCTCTTCCCCTCCTCCCCTCCCTTTATCTCTTAGACCTGGAGGCCACCACACTTCCCTGCTTTTCCCCGGGACCCCTCTCTCTGGGTCTGGCAGGTCAACTGAGTGTGGACCCTGCATCCCTTCCTCTGGGCGCCCCCTTTTCTCAGTGCTCCCCTGCATTTGCTGAGCTCCTGAGGGTCCTGCGCCTACAGACAGCTGACTGGCGGTTCCTTGGGCTGCTGGGTGGCAGACACTGCCCCAGCAGTGGAGAAGCCTTCCCGTTCTGGCCAGGGGGAGATCATTAAATCTAAACAGACCCCTAGTCCTCCCAGAGCCTCCAACTGGGAAAGCCTGGGCAGGCTCCAATTACAGCAGGGCAGGAGCAAGCCTGGGATTACATAAGCACAGAGCTGGCCTCCAGGGATGTGCTGCAGGGACACCCACACAGGCGGCTGTCACATCCCAAGGTCACTCCACACACACAGACACACACACACACACACACACACACACACACACACACACACACCTGCCTCCATTGATCGTTTCTTCCAGCCAAGTGGACAAAACGAGGTGCCTGACTTTAAACTGTGGTTTTCAACGCAGGAGCCTGTAGAAAGGAAGTGCACTGCAGATGTCACCAGCAGGCATGAGTGTCTGTGACCTAAGAGACAAGAATCTTTCCTGACTCTGATGTGTGCCCAATGTCACTTTGCTAAGGGACGTGGCTTCTCGTCCCCTGTCCTTGAGCTGCTGGATCCTGTATATTTAAGAAGTTAGATTACAATTAAGCAACCTGTGTGTTTGTGTCTGTGTTTACACCCTTCTACCAGCCAAGTCTGTGTTGTTCCTCCCACGCGACAGAAAACAGATAATAGAGCTGGTCCTGGGAGAGTCCTGGAAATGACAGCGTCCTTCTCTGCTGCTTTAACTCCAGGGCCCTGCCGTGATGTTGGCTCTTGATCCTTGTAGTGATGATATGAACTGCGGTTAGACATATCATTCCAAATGTGCAGGTGAAGTGATACCAGTCAACAGGTCCAACAGATGAGCCCCCAGGTAGCATTCGGGAGTGAAGCATTAATTAGGTGGCCTGGCCTGCTGGCTCATGTCCTTTGCTGTTGCGTCCATGTTAAACTGTCTTTGGCAAATAAATATTTGTGCTAAAATGTAACCTTTAAAGTTTTTTTAAAAAATATATTTTATTTATTTCTTTTTCTCTCTGTGTGTGCTATGATGTGTGGGGATTTGTGCTATGGTGTGTGTGTATGGTGTGTGTGTGGGGTGGGTGTGTGCTATGGTGTATGTGCTGTGTGTGTGGTGTGTGTGTGTTCTGTGTTTGTGTGTGTGTATGGTGTGTGTGTTGTGTGTGTGTGGCGTGTGGTGTGTGTTGTGTGTGTGTTGTGTGGCATGTGTGTGTTGTGTGTGTGTTGTGTATGTGTGTGTGTGTTGTGTGTGTGTGTGTGTGTGTGTGTTGTGTTGTGTGGTATGTGTGTGTTGTGTGTGTTGTGTGTTGTGTGTGTGTTGTGTGTGTTGTGTGTGTGTGTGTGTGTGTGTGTGTGTGTGTGTGTGTGTTGTGTGTTGTGTGTGTGGTGTGTGTGTTGTGTGTGGTGTGTGTGTTGTGTGTGTTGTGTGTGTGTGGTGTGTGTGTTGTGTGTTGTGTGTTGTGTGTGTTGTGTGTATAGTGTGTGGTGTGTGTTGTGTGTGTTGTGTGTATAGTGTGTGTTGTGTGGTGTGTGTTGTGTGTGTGGTGTGTGTGGTGTGTATGTAGTGTGTGTGTGTGTGTTGTGTGTGTGTTGTGTGTGTGTTGTGTGTGTGTGTGTGTGTGTGTGTGTGTGTGTGTGTGTGTGTGTGTGTGTGTGTGTGTGTGTGTGTGTTGTGTGGTGTGTGTGGTGTGTGTATAGTGTGTGTTGTGTGTTGTGTGTGTGTGGTGTGTATGTAGTGTGTGTGTGTGTGTTGTGTGTGTGTGTGTGTGTGTGTGTGTGTGTGTGTGTGTGTGGTGTAGGGCAGGGCGCATCTTGCAGGACGTTGGCTCTCTCCTCCCACCATGTGGGTTCAGGGATTGAACTCAGGTCGTCAGACTTGCTGGCAAGGGCTTTGACCCACTAAGCCATCTCTCTAGTCCTGTTTTCTTTCCTTCTTTTTTTAATAGACAAACTTCTTATTGTCAACAAACGGGCTTTCCCATAGTGTCGCAAATAGCTAACGTTTAAGGACACATGTGTGCATCTGGGAGCCGTTGTGAATGTGTGCGCCCAGCGGGGTGTGTGGTATAAATTCAATCTGGGGATGTTCTACTAAGCGGATGGCCACCCAGAGGGAAGTGACCACTTTAACTCGGGTCCCTCCTGCTAGGTGTCACACGTGGCCAACATAAAACCGGTTCTCACGCCAGGAATTTAGATTCAATCACCAAGTCCAAAGATTTCAGAATAATCCACAATATTTTCAATATTCTATGCCATTAGCCACACACAATAAATCCATATTTTAAAGCCTAAGCACTCCAAGTCTGCATAAGATATTGCCACGGAATGTTCTGGGGACGGGACCAAAGCACTTCTTTTAATGTCACAGATTAAACAAATCCTTTCTAAATTTTATAATGATGCCACTTTGCATTTACCTGATTCTTTCCCTCCAAGGAACAGTAAACATGCCAAATACAAATTATTTCTGTTATGCTTCTAAGACACAAGATGCTTCAGCCAGGCACGGTGGTACCTGCCTCAGATCCCAGCACTTGAGGGAAGGAGGCAGGAGCATCAGGAGTTCAAGGCTGGCCTTGGTCACACACCAGAACTGCTCCCAGTAAGGGGTGGCTTTTGTCTGTGTGGCAGCATAAATCCCGCCCTACAAACTGTAGACGCCAGTCCCAAAGTCTGGTCTTTATCTGGGTCCCACACAGGTGGACCACTAAGAGAGTTGGGTCTGGTGTGTGAAACCAGTCCCAAGAGCGTCCTTTGTGCTGTGCAGTGATTTTTACTGCGGCCGTGGCAGTGAGAACCCATGATCTTTTCTTTTTGGATACAGTGTTCCAGATGTAAGGAAGCTAAACCAGAGACCCTTTGGAGAGTCCGAGATTGCTTCCCAGCAGAGTCAGAACTTAACCAGCGCTCCCAATCCCAGAACTAACAACGTAGGCCGCCGAGTCACCTGCCTTCCGTAGCCACCATGCCCTTTTCCACCCAGAGGCCTCCCTCTTGCGTAGGGGTCTTGACCATCATGGCCGTAGCGCCATATAGCTGCTGCATCAAATTCGTTCTGTTTTCCAGTAACTTTTACCGATAGTTAATCAATTTGTAACAGTTTTGACCAACGCGGTGTTCGTGTTTATAGAAACCTGTCCTTTCCTTTTCAAATCTCATTTCTATCCGCGGACCGGCATTTCTCCGTTTAAACAGCAGATGCCAAAGTACGTCATCTGGGAGAGAGGGCTTGTTTGGGATTCGTTCACATCACCTGCTAAATCTAGACATAAACACTCCAGTCAGGTTAACGGGTCATCGCAGGCCATTGCCCGGAAAGGCCAGCGGCTGCGCAGCAAATGGCGTAAGGGTGGTTTCCCAGTAACTGACTCCAACGCTGGCATGGCGGCACTTGAGGCAGGAGGATTGGGAAAGCAAGGCCATCTTCGGCGGCTGTTGGGCGTGCTCGGGGTCAGCCTGGAGGACGTGAGACCCTGTTGCAAAAATCAAAGTCGGTCATCTAACTAATAAGGATGCAGTATGTACCATGCCTTGGCATTATGTTTTGTGAGAAGAGAGTGGCCCTTGCCTCAGGGAACCCAGTAAAGCAGTGTTGGCGAGTCTGCGTTGCCGTTCTCTGTGACAGGAAGCTTGTCTTCTCTCTTCCAGGTACTCTACTTCCTCCTGAGCGCCCTGGGCCTGGCGGTCTGCATGCTGGCCGTGGCGTTTGCCGCCCACCACTACGCCCTGCTCACACGGTTTACCTGTGAGGCCTCCCTGGATGCCTGCCTGTGCAAACTGCCCTCCTCAGAGCCCCTCAGCAGGACCTTTGTCTACAGGGATGTGGCCGACTGTGCCAGCGTCACCGGCACTTTCAAGTTGTTCCTCATCATCCAGATGGCTCTGAACCCCGTCTGTGGCCTTGTGTGCTTGCTGGCTTGCTTTGTGATGTGGAAGCACAGGTACCAGGTCTTTTATGTGGGTGTTGGGCTGCGTTCCCTGATGGCTTCCGATGCCCAACAACAAAAGGCCTAACAGCTTGGCTCGGGGGTAGAGAGAGAGGCAGAAGCAGAACCCCAAGGAGCCAAGGTGGAAACCACAGGCTTTTTTTAAAGGCAAGCTTTTGACAACAAATGCTTATTCATTCTCTAAGCGAATATTTTTAGATTTTTTTCAGAAAACAAAAGAACTTTTTTTTTTTGGATCTCTATTGTACATTAAAAAAAGGATTCTTGTGGGGACGGGGGTTGAGGGACGGCACACAAGCCCTCTTGCAGAGGACCCGAGTTCAAGGTATTTCAGAACCCAAGTTGGGTGGACCACAGCTACCTGTATTTCCAGTCCCAGGGGGCATTGGGTGCCCCACACATACACGCAATGTACATAATTTTTTAAAAGAGCTTTTTAAAATGAGAAACAGGATTCACATTGATTTGACGAACACTGAGAGGAAAAGAATGATGAACAAGGAACGGAAGGCTTCAATCTGCTGCCCCAAGCTGTTGCTTCCTACCAACACTCTTTTGCCCATGACTCACACAACCTCCTTTCCTGCCGGCCCAGTGTGATGGCGTGAACTGGCTCCTAAGGCTGCTTCCTAAGCTCTAGACCCTTCTAGCTCCTTCTGCCACCTCTCCTTACCAAAGAAGGGTAGAGGTCTGGGGGAGAGATGAATCTCTGTACTGAATGCTTTTATTTTTCACAGTCGAGATGTCTCTAAGGAACGGGATAGCTTTTTTTTTAAAGCCTGGTAGAACAGGAAGGCTTAGTAATTATGAACACCCGGGCTGGGGCGCAGCCTCCTGGCTCCCTTAACCCCGCTCCATGAGTGGGCTGCAGCCTGCCTCCGTGATTGTCCACTTACATAATTGTAAGGTGGCGCCGTTGCATTCTTAGTGATGTAGAAAGTTTAAAAACAATTACCTTATGCCTCTAGTCTACCATCTAAAACAAATCATTAAGACTAATTTCCAGCTAATTGTTCATTATAAGTACGCTCAGAAGTCTGTTTAATGAGCTCTGGCTGTACTTAGGCATCGCTGTTGGTGTTAAGAAAAATTATAGCCATGAGGGAAGACGTCTGAAGATCCCCTTTCCCGGAAACCAGCCACTGCAGAAAAGAACTTGTAGAACACCAACCAATACTCAGGTTTAAAACTCTCCTGGAGAAGAAAACCAAGAGCATTTGTCATAAGAAACACTTGAACTATTAGCACAGTAGTGTGACATGTTCAAAATTGTCTTCCTTGACAACCAAGAACCTTTGATGGTGATTGGGTACCACTGGTGAGTCCTGTCACGAACTTGGACTTTCTATAAATCCTGTTAATGATGACTTTTACAGTTGACCTAGAGACAAATGTCCCAATGCCATTATTTGGGCCACATGTCTACCGTTAGAGGGCTGATTTAGTTTCATTACCAGTTTAGACTTAAGACAGGTACTTTGTTAGGATGGCCTCTGCTGTGTTACTGTTTTATTACCGAACTCAGAAGAGCATCTGGGCATCGAGGAAGGCGCTCACCTGGGAAATCCACACCGTGTAAACACCACCACGAATGTCTCTCTTAATCTGTGTTTTTAAAAGCAGAAGTTCCAGGTTACGGTTCAGCTAAGTTTGCTCTCCACCTCGCCTGTCCAGATACTTTCCTGGTCACAACATTTGCCTTAAGGGGACACGTAATCTCTTTTGCCTTTGAGAGTAGGTGGAGAATTCCATGACGGTGACAATGGAGTCAGTTCTGTGTGACACACACATCCCAATGGCAGGAATGTGTTAGGCTTAGCTACCTGGGAGACTGCCCCTGTAGTTTCCTCCAGGTAAAACTCCTTATGTTCTGACTTTAAGTCTGCCTTTCTTGCCTGCTAGCTCAGGTCAGCAAGGCTCCTTGGAGAGAATAGTGGGTAAAATTCCACCACAGGTCTAATCCTTAACTTTGCGTGAGCACAACACTAGGCTGCCGGATACTGGCCTGAAAAACCTTCCGTACTTGTTAACAATAACCAACTCTAGGCTGGCAACATAGCTCAGTTAGCCAAGTTAGTCCCAGTAAGAACTTAATTCTTAGACACCAGAAAAAAAAAAGACATAACCCTGGCACCGAGGAGGCAGAAGCAGGCAGGTCCCTGGGACTCCTGGACCAGACAGCTTTAATTTAATGATCAAATTATGTGTCCCCGGTAGGAGAGTTTGTCTCAGGAAACAGAAACAGAAAGTAAACCACAGTGGGCAGCTGACCTCTGACCTCCACACACACAATTGCACCTGCACACATGTGAAGAATAAGCAGATTCGCGTGGACTTGTGATGGCTTTCTGTAGAAGTAGTAAAATGATTGGGAATCCGGGCTGTCACGGGATGTCATGGGATGTCCTTTCAAAGCGAGGTTGTTTTCATGTCAGCTGCTGTGCATCGGGTACCCTCAGACAGAGGCACACAGAACACCTTCACAACCTTGACCAGCAAAGTCAACAGGTTTTTTTAATCCCTCCCTTTTTAATGAGAAAATTAACGTCCCTACACAATTAGGTTGCTCTATGCTTTACAAAAGACTCATGGAGCATTTTAAAGGGTAGGATAATTTTAGCCTGCGGGTTTCTTGTTTTCTAACACAATCAAGAGTGGGCACGGTTTAAGCTTATAAAAATTTGCCTGCATAGAATGGGGATTTTTATATGATCAGATTCTTCTTAACTCCTCCAAAGAGGTGGGTGAGGGGAAGGTTGTAAGTGCATAGAAGGAGCAAAACCAAATGTAAGGATCCCTTTGCTAAAGCTCTCTGTATAGTGGGGTGTGTGTGTGTAAGAATGGTGCTGCATGAATAACGAACGGCTTTGGGTTGGATCTGAAGTATTTTGACATTGTGTTTTGCAAATATTGAAGCTGCAGAAAGGCAACAGAGGCTTCTCACTTAGCAAAAACGTCACACTTCAGATCTGTCGAGGAGCCAGGATGGTGACTGTGCCTTCCAAACCCTAAAACAGCAAGGTTCGCACAGCTCCCCTCCCCAAAGCCTGCTTCAGGAGAATTAAACGAATCGAGATTTTGCAAAGACCGAGACACGGCCAGGACTTGGCAGTAGTTGGAATAGGAATACGACGTCCCGAACGTACAGACTGTAACCGAGCCCACTCAACGGGTCTGCGCCTTCATGTGACCATCATCTGTGGTTCCCAAAGCGCCATCCAAATTGGTGTAGGCAGCACCTTGGAGCCGTGCCTAAACCATAGCTACTCCCAAGCCCTGGAAACTGTAGTCAAGCAGCAGGCCTCATGTGTCTCCTTCCTTGGATTGAGGGCTTAGATGTTCCCTTCTGAGTGCCTTCCAGCGTGTTCCCACAGTGAAATTCCATTCTGTGTATGTTTTCTCTCCATGTCCGACATGATCTCCCGATTCTCTATGTGCGGTATGTGATACATTTATGAGATTGTAGAAGAGACTGGATAAGAGCTGTCTGGGGGAGATCAGTGGAGCAGTCACTGAGCGAGCATCAGAAATGAGCGTGAAAGCTGCCTGTCCTTTACAAACATGAACTGTGTCCTGGTCCCCGGCGACTGCCTCTGAAATCGCGATGTGTGGTGGGTCACATTTGTATAAATATACCACTGGATTTTTACTCCAGTTTAAAAACCCACAGTGTGCTTTAGCAGTGCAGCGTAAGTTCTAGCTGTCTGATGGCCAAATCCTTAGTGGTGAAGCCACTGAAATGAGCTCGCACATTTTAATTCCTCATCTGAAGCGGGCACTGTCCCTTTCAGAGCTGTGGGTCTGTGTCTTGGTGCTGCCGTTTCCTTTCCTGGCCTCGAACCAAAAGATGAAGTGTTTCTGTACATTTGAGGTGGTTGTTTTTAAGGGGGGGGGGGTTCGTGTGTTTCCTTTATTAATAAACTTTGCATAATCTTCAAAGGCATGGTGTTGAGTTATGTTTTCAAGTGACTATATGGTACGTGAGAACTGGGACATGTGAAATTGCTGGGGTTCGTGTTTGCTACGTGTGAACTGGGACACGTGAAATTGCTGGGGTTCGTGTTTGCTACGGAAACCTGGTTAGAGATTGCAGAGCATTGTGTTAAGTGAAGTGAGCCAGGCTCAGAAAGACTGCCTGTTTGTTCATGTGTGTGGAGACTGGAGCGTGTGTGTGTGTGTGTGTGTGTGTGTGTGTGTGTGTATGTGTGTGTGTGAGAGAGCGCCCCCCTGTCTCATTAAACTTCAAAGGGGACCATAATGGAGGAAGAAGAGGTCCTAATGATGTGGGGGGGGAGGGAGGGTAATGGAATGCAGTGACTTGAAAGGGAAGAGAGGATCTGGGGGAAGGAAAGAGGACCAGGGCAAGGAGGGCGGGGGACAAGGGAGTGACAGTGGTGGCATTGGTATGAATAAGAACAAAATGTGTATTTTTTTAAAGGTTGTAATGAAACATTACTTTCTTGCTAACTTTAAAAAACATAATTTAGAAAATAATTAAAAGAATAATAAGAAAACAACCCTGTGTTGAGAATGGACAAGAACCAGCTTGACAGTGATGCCGGTTTAGTCCTAGGCAATCTGCAGCTTACACTTTGCATTAGGGTAAAGGTCAAGGTTGTAATTGGTCCCCATGTAGAGTACAGGCTGGAGGGACTCTTTCCAGAGGTGCCCGGGATGCATTCCTAATGTCTGTCAATCAATGTCAAATGAAGCTGACTGGGCCTAAAAGCAGGGAACTCACTCCTCACGCTCCACAGTTATAAATATGTACCCATATGGTGGCCTTCTCCACTCAGATCTGCATCGAGGACCTCCTCTTACCGACTCTGAGGCAGACATCGTACTGTGGCCACCATACTGTGAGCGTGGTCTCTTTCTGTTTACTTTAGGGAGCTTCTGCCATGCAAAGAGCAAGAGGTCAGTACCTAGGCATCCCCTGAGCTGCACTTCCCTCCTCAGCGTCAAGTTCCCAGGGTCAGAAGTCTGACCGCCGCTTACTGCTGCGACATTGGACAAGCTGTTTGGTTTTAGGTTCTGCATAGTAAATTACAGAAAAATGAGCCGCCTCACAGCCTCATGGGGGAAGTGAAATAAAACAGCGCTTGCCCAAGAAACTTCAGAACATGCTTTCTCCCCTCGAGGCCGGTTGGCATAGTCTATGACACTTTTCGTGGGCACAGGCCTGTTCCCACCTCTACCTATAGGAGTAAATTGGATGTAAGCTAGTCATTGTGAAATATAGGACATGTATTACCGTGCATTTTTAAAAATTCAAAGTGTAAGCGAAATCCGAACTGTTCTGAGACAGCAGTACACTCATTCCGTCTTTGCAGCAAATATTTATACACGTGTAGTGGTCCCAAGAAGCCCAGGAACTTAAAGGCAGTTGTTTCTGTTGGGGCGGGGCATTAGAAGAATTCTTAGCCCAAGGGACTGTGACACACAATCACATTACGGTTGGGGAAAGCAGAGGTTTCCATGGGCACTCCAAATGCAAAGACTATGGGGACCCCAAGTTTTGGTGGGACCACGCTCTGTGACTGCGGCCCGAGAGCAGGCCTGGTGCCTCATCTGTGCCATGCCGGCTGGTCCTGAGTACCCATGCAGGAGACTGAAGAGTTAAGTGGTGAGAGACCCTGTGTAGTCCTGGACCTGGGAACACGGAACTGCTGCTCTCCAGGTGAGACGTTTCATTTAATCTGTTGAACTTCCTGCCAGGCCTTTGTGTCGTCTCTGCCGGATCATGTGTGATCATGTGTGGTCATGTGTGATCATGTGTGGTTACGTGTGATCATGTGTGGTTCCAGACGAGGGCTGACTCAAGGACTGAGCACTGTGACCAGAGATGACTGTGATCTTGTGAGATCCAGCAAGGTGTTCCCTCCATCTTCCTATACTTGTGGCCCAGGCTGGCCCTGAAATTAGTGAGGCGGGTGGGGTGAACGGCCAAACTGATTGGAAAGTGTGTGACCGAGTTATTTTAGGTTCTTCCATTTAGGGCAGAGTCACCAAAGGGGCCACGTCTCCTCAGGCAGCTTCCCCTCAGGTAGCTTTCATCTTTCAGTAACGTTTGGTTTCGACTGTAGCAAAATGACATAAAGATGTTAAGTGTTTCTCTAAGTGGAGGGGGCTTCCTTCGTTTTAACACAGGGACACTTAGGGTTTCAGACACCAAGTTTGGCCAGAGAGGGTAGAGAGGGACACTGAGCATATTTGGATGAGGAAACCACAGAGAAACCTGGGCTCTGTCTGGCCTGGCTTGGTCTAGAGCAGGAGCAATGGCCCGGAACAAACCTCCCACCTACAGTGCAGTCTCAGAGTTGGTCCGGACAACTCTGGGGAACGTGGCCAAGGTGGTTATCTACGCTCGTGCACTTTCTCTGTGGACTTTTGTCTTCTGAGGATCCCACGAACAGTACACAGGCGTGCACACACACACACACACACACACACACACACACACACACACACACTTCCCACAGCAAACCTGCCTCTCCCTCCTCTGAGGCCCCGTGTTAAGGTAGCTAGTGGCTGACACAGAGGTCCCCATAAGTGTAAGTCACACAGTAGTAGGTTCTTTCTACAGGCCGGCTGGGGAGATGAAGTGTGATGCCAAGCATGGAGACCTGGCCAACCGCTTCAAACCCTGTGGGTAGCCACCTACTCTGTCTGACCAAGATTGTGACAGGGCTCCAGAGCTGGAGGGACACTGAGACCCTGAGTCCCATTAGCCTGTGCTGTGCTGCCAGCCTGCAGCTGAAGTGGCTGCCGGTTACAACGGTTATAACCGAGTGGCACTTTGCTCAAACCTATTGAAAGGGGATTCCAGAAAGCGAAAGGGAAGGAGCTTTTCCTCACATGGGCCCAGAGGGCTTTTACTGTGAAAGGAGGATGAATAATAGCAGAGGAGAATTCACGAGGGAGCTCTTGGCCTCTGGTCTGGCTCCCTGGGCACTGCAAGACAGCACACCAAGGTTGACTGACTTTCCTCAGACCCCGAGGCTTCTCGTCATCTTCCACAGAACACCCTCAGACGCTGGCCTGGAACCACACCAGCCCAGAGGAAGGATGCCATCCAAAAAGCAGGAAAAAACTCCCAAATTGTAACTTAACAGTGATCTTTTTTCCCCCCTTTAATTCCCAAAATGTGTTTTCCCAAGTCCCAGCTCACAGACCTGTGGTTTTTTTGTCTCCCTGGCTTTACAGCCTCTGCCTGGAGCCAAGAGACTTGGCTAAGCTTCCTCCTGAGTCAGAGTCTCGGCTGGTAGCTGAACCCAGAAAGCCCTGGCCCCCCACCCCTCCCTGGAACCACAAGCCCACAGCGCTGCCTCCTGTGTTCGGCCCTTTGGCTGGGTGTCCTGCCCGGTCTCTGTTTGGAAAGCACCATCTTACGTAACTCCAGAACCTCCTAAATGCCCCATTGTCTTCTACTTGGGGGCGCTCAGAACAGCCTATTACTGACTTATGACTTATCACCAAGATAGAATCTCTCGCCAGCGAGCGTCTCCTCAGTCCTTTGGAACTGGCCTCACCTGCCTTACGGCAATCAGCAGCCAGGCCTAACCCTTGTGGTCTTTGGGGAATTACAGGTTCAGTACAAGGTGCAGGGAATACAAAGGCAGGTTCATCTGCAGGTCAGGGTGGTTCGTTCAGTTCAGGCCGCACAGGAAAGCCATTTGTAACTGAGGACTGAGGTAGGCGTAAACAATTCTGATCTGATTATTCCTTTACTAATCTGATTTTGATAAGCAGCTGATGAAAACGGGAGGCGTCTTGGCCCACGGAGGAGAGATACCCAGGCAGTATATTATCAGTTTCTCTTATCTCACCAGGCCGGGATTGATTTCAAGACTCCTATTAATAGCTCAGGATGGCAAGAACTGTGACCTCTGCCCTGGATCCTCAGAGCCTTGAGAGCAAAGTGACACCGGGCTATTGGGTAAGGTCCCTCCACCCATCTTTATTTTCTATGAATCTCTGATTAGCCCTGTTGGGAATTCTAGTAATTGCTGTAAGCTGGCACCTCCAGAAAAGAAAAAAAAGACCTCTTAGGATTCAATTAAAAATTAAAGGGACCTTTGAGTGTGGTTGCCAAGGAGCTTTCCCAGAACAGGTGGGGTGTGGACCTGTACAAGCCAAACACTGCTCATAGGTGACGTCTCCGTGTGGTGACATCTCCGCAGCAGGGGGAAGGGGGACGGGCTGTTGCTCTCTCTTCGTCACCTGTGATCTTCCAAGCGTCCCTCTGGCCTCCATCCACCCCCTTCTGGTCCGGGACCAGCTAGCTGTGGGACCAGGTTTAGGCAGAAGTGGGCTTTATTCCAGGGTTAGTGACATAGTGAGCCCTCAGCAAAGCGTCCAGGAAGGGTGGAGTGGGCTGAGTTTGGGGGACGCACGTACCTTGGCTTGCTGTATCTCTTCACTGGGCTTCGAAACAGGACCTGGAGGGGGGGGGGCTAGAGAGATGCTGAGCACTTGGCTGCTTTCCCGGAGGTCCCTAGAAGGGTCTGCAGCCCTCATGTCAGGTAGCCCCTGGGGCTCTGGCGCCCTCTTCTGGCCTCCAGTGGCATCAAGACACATGTGGTGTATACTCAGAGGGACACAACCCTAAATAAATTAATAAGCAAATAAATAAGTAAATAACTTCCCATTTGGATGATAAAACAGTGATTCTCTCAAGGATTGTTGAAGACATGTTCAGTCTTTGGGCCAAAGCTACCCATAATCTTACAGGGCCGGACTCTAGCACATCCGTTTTGAAACACCCTCCCCCCCCCACACACACTTTATAAAATACTGGGGAAATCTGCTGCTTTCCGGTTGTTCTTTCCCAGTGACAAAGCTGAAGTTCTCTTAACGGGAGGTGGTTGAGTTGCTTGACTTTATCTGAGTACAGCGTGCATTCCCAAATGGGCAAGTCAGAGCTCTCCACACGGCTG